GCACCAACGGCCAGTAGCCTAGCGGTATTGGCCACTTACCTCCCAAAGGGAGGTCAGGGGTTCAAGTCTCAGAAGAGACGTGCGTGTGTGAGTACCAACTAGGAGGGGAAAAAAAAAAAAAAAAAAGAAGAAGAAGAACAGCCGCGCTTAGCAGGTTGATGTTGTCAGATCGATGCAGGCCATTCTTTGACACAACTAGAAGTAACGGATGGCGGACCTGGGGGAGTGAACAGCAACAAGCGCTGTCCAAACTGAAGGAATACGTGCAGAGTCCACCAATCCTCTCTGCACCAAAGCAGGATGAACGATATCTTTACCTTAAGGTGTCGAAGTCTACAACAAGTGCCGCCCTGGTCAGAGAGGAAGAAGGGAAGCAATACCCCATATTTTACACAAGCAAAACAATAGCCGACCCCAAGAAAAGAAATTCGAAGGCAAAACGAGTCATACTTGCGTTGGTGCATGCCAAACGGAAGCTCCGGCAGTATTTCGAGTCCCATCCGATTGTGGTCCCCACCACTAATCCGATCAGAGTCATCCTACACAAGCCCGACCTATTAGGTAGAATCACCAAATGGGCGATCGAATTGAGTTCATTCGACATCACATATGAACCTCGAACGACCATAAAGGGCTAAGCAGTAGCCGATTTCCTGCTAGAATGTGAGGTAGATGATGAAGAAGAGGTAGTGGAGGAACCACCATGGAAGCTTTATGTTGACGGATCATCAAACCAAATGGGGGCAGGCGTAGGCGTTGAACTACAAACTCCCGAGGGCACAAGCCTGCACCAGGCAATTAAGTTTGAATTTGAGGCAACAAACAACAAGGCAGAATATGAAGCAGTGTTGATAGGATTGAAGCTTGCCAAGGGGTTCAAAATTAAGAGTATGAGCGTCTTCAACGACTCACAGCTGATCGTGAAGCAAGTGATGGGGGAGTATAGCACCGGGGATAGCACAATGGAGGCCTACCGTTCTATTGTCGAACAAAAGGTGAAAGGATTTGACCAGGTCAAATTCACACAGATACCTATAGAAGAGAACTATGAGGCCGATCGAATCGCTTGCAACGCATCCAGTTCAGGCGAAACATTAACTAGGGTAATATCGGTAGACGTGTTGTACCAGCCGTCCGTCCTTGAAACGCTATTCAGCCCTGATCGTCTACAAGTGTTGTAATACCGTATGAGCCTAGCTGGATCGACTTGATCATATCATACATAAGGGATGGTGTGCTACCTGAACCGAGAGATGAAGCAAGGAAAATGCGAACCAATGCAGCGAAGTATACAATCCTTCACAACCAGCTCTATCGAAGATCCTTTTTAGGCCCCTACTTAGAGTGCGTCACCCCCATCGAAAGCCAGACAAGTCCTGGGCACAATTCATGAAGGGGTGTGTGGTAATCATACGGGGGGCAGATCCTTGGCGCACAAAACCATGACCCAAAGCTATTTTTGGCCACACATGTCATGAGATGCCGAAGAATACTCCAGGAGATGCGACAAGTGCCAAAGGTTCAGACCACTGATACACCAACCACCTGAGCACCTACACATAATGGCCAACCCATAGCCTTTCGCACAGTGGGGGATGAATGTGGTTAGACCACTAGGGCTGCAAATGAAACGAGTTGTTCATGCACAGCTCGGTTTGGGCTCGTTCATTAAGCAAACGAGCGCGAACTCGAGCTCAATTTTTAGGCTCGTTTAGTAAACGAGCCGAGCTTAAGTAACACTTAGCTTGGCTCGTTAGGCTCGTGAACAAGCTCGTTAACTTAAATGCCCATTTATATTATTATTTTGCATTTAAAAGGTTTAAGCCCATATAAATATAAGTTTGGCCGAACCCACCTCTATTCATTAATAAGGCCCAAGAATTATAATTTAAGTAGCCCATCATCTGAATATGATTTAACCCCAGCCACAAGATTTACCACATCATAGCCATTAGTTCTCTAAAGATAAGAATAAACCTAAAACAAAAGTCTACAGCGGCACGCCTCTTCTTCTTCAGCTCTACGATCTCGTCGGCAACCCTGCACATGCTACACAGAGCGCGCTCTCTCCAACTGATCGTAAGGTAAAGGAGGCAACATATTTGTAGATGGAGTTACAAAACATTGTAAGGTTTGATTTTATCTGTAGATCGAGTTGATAAACATATTGTTTCTTTTTCTTCTTGTCGAAGATGAAAATCGGTTGAATGTCTTTCTCGTCGGTGATTAAAATCAAATTTCATAAAAGAAATCACAATATTTTCTTGAATTGATAGTTGTTTGGTCACTTGGGTGCGCAACCTAGCTCGAGCCTGAGCCAAGTCCGAGCTCATCGAATCTCTACTGAGCCGAACCCGAGCCTAGCCTAGCCTAGCCAAGCTCACCTGAGCCCAAGCCGAGCCCGAGCACCTCTCTGAAATTGACGAGCCAAGCCTGAGCAAGCCCAAGCTCAGCTCGGCTAGGTTCGTTTGCAACCCTATGGACCACTACCAAAGGCGAGATCACAAAATAAGTACGTCCTGCTCGCAACAAACTACTTCACTAAGTAGGTAGAAGTGGAACCTTATCCTAGCGTCACACACACACAAGTGAGGCGCTTCATATGGAACAACATAATTTGTCGGTTTGGAGTTACCAGGTCGATCGTCATGGATAACAATACAAAGTCGGACAACCGACATGTAAAGAAGTTGTTGGACGAGCATAGGATCAATTAGAAGCTTGTTGTGGTAAGCCATCCACAAGGAAATGGACAGGCTGAAATCACAAACATAACTATTTTCAGTTGCATAAAGAAAAAAATTGGAGGATAAGAAAGGCAAATGGCTAGATGAACTCCCGAATGTCCTGTGGGCTTACCGAATGACCCCAAGATGGCCAACCGATGAAAGTCTGTTTACTATAGCATATGGCACGGAATATGTGATACCGACCGAGCAAGCAGTACCAACTGCTCGAAGCATAACATGGAACCAAAAGGAGAACAACAAAATGCTAGAACTCAACCTCGACCTAATAGAGGAAAGGAGGGATTCGACAGCAACCAGGCTTGCTTCATACCAGCAAACGCTCGCGAATAGTCACAATAAGAGGGTAAGGCATAAAAGCTTTGCCCTCGGTGAACAAGTATAAAAGGGTAGTGGGCATCGTAAAAAATGATGTCCCCATAAGGACCCTACAGAGTCACAGAAGTAGTACGAAAAGGGGCATACAGGCTGGAATCATTGGCCAAAAGGCAAATTGACAAGTCGTGGAATGCAAACTATCTAACGAGGTATTATCAGAAGAATAACACTATCATTTGGTTTTAATATTGTTTGTTTTTTGGTTTTCTCCTTATGTATTTGCACCAAATGCATGAATGAAAAAGAAAAGGGGACATTGTTGAAGGAAAGAAACCTACTAAGTTGTTAACCAAAAAATCAGTGGCAAGTGGCTCTATTTGCCGAACGCCAAGCATTTGTCCAAGTCAGTGGCAAATGGCGTTATTTGCCGATCACCGAACACTTATGAAAATTTATAAATAAAAAAACATTAGTGGCAAGTGGCTCTATTTGCCTAACACCAAGCATTTGATCAAGTCAGTGGCAAATGGCATTATTAGCCGATCGTCAAACACCTGTGAAAATTTACAAAAAAATTAGTGGCAAGCGGCTCTATTTGCCGAACGCCAAGCATTTGACCAAGTCAGTGGTAAATAGCGTTATTAGCCGATCGCCAACCACTTGTAAAAATTTACAAAAAAATAGTGGCAAGTGGCTCTATTTGCCGAACTCCAAGCAACCAAGTCAGTGACAAATGGCGCTATTTGCCAATCGCTAACACCTGTGAAAATTTACAAAAAAAATTAGTGGCAAGTGGCTTTGTTTGCCGAACGCCAAGCATTTGACCAAGTCAGTGGCAAATGACGTTATTTATCGATCGCCAAACACTTGTGAAAATTAACAAAAAAATTAGTGGCAAGTGGCTCTATTTGCTGAACGCTAAGCATTTAACCAAGTCAGTGGCAAATGGCGTTATTTGCCGATCGCCAAACACCATAGTTGTTAAAAGCATACCGGGCGCGCGCATCAAGGCGCAGCTTCTGCGCCTTGAGTATGGTGAGCGAGCCTTTGTCTTCTTCCTTTAATTTTTGCCTTTTAAACATTTGTTGTATTCAGAATTTCAGACTTCACATTCTTCTTCTTATATAATAAATTATGATGTGATAAAGTAACTTTAAGTGGTGGGTGGTCCCTACCACTACCACCAAAAAAGTTAAAAGACCAGTCCAAATAAAAAAGTCAAGGAACCCAAATTAGGCTCAATTGCTGTACGAAATATTTGGGAGCTATGGGTCTCTTTGTCAAGCTCTCTCACTCTCCGGCAAGCTCTCTCTCCGGCGAGCTCTCTCTCCGGCAACCAGGTAACCATTTTTTCTCTTCTTCTTCTTCTTCTTCTCTGTTTTTTTTTTTTTCCTTCTTTCTTCTCTGATTTCTTTTTTCCTTCTTCTTCTTCTTCTCTCTTTTTTTTTCCTTCTTTCTTCTCTATTTTTTTTTTTTTTTTTTATCTTTCTTCTCTGTTTTTCTTTTTTCCCTTCTATTCTTGCTTTTCTCTCTGTCTGTCTTCTTCTCTGGCAACCAGCTTCTTCTTCTTCTTTTCTATTTTTTTTATTTTTTCTTTCTTCTCTGTTTTTTGTTTTTTTCCCCTTCTTTCTTCTCTGTTTTTTCCCCCCTTCTTTCTTCTCTGTTTTTTTTTGTTCCGTCTTCTTCTCTGTTTTTCTTTTTTCCTTCTGCTCTTGCTTTTCTCTTTTTTAATTATTTATTTATTTTAGCTATCAATTATCAACATGCCTGTTAGTTTTTCATCTGGAGTGTGGCCTGTGAAATGCTGCTATTTTAGGCTTTTTAGCTATGAAAATGCATGCCTGTAACGCCTGTTATTGTTTCCTAATGTTGCTATTTTAGCTATGAAAATGCATGCCTGCTATTGTTTCCTTTGGACTGTGGCCTGTAAATGCCTTTGTTTTTTTTTTTTTTTTTTTCTTTGCTGTGAAAATGCCTGTTGCACTTTTTAAGTGATGATCAAGATGGTGCTATGTTTATTGATGATGAGGATGATCCGATGATATTTAGATCCTTTGGTGGTCTTCTTAGGAGTTAGGATGAACTGATGAAGTGAACATTTCTATGTTTGTTTTACTTTTTATTTAATTAGTTGATTTTTGCATCTTTATGTTAGTAATTACTATGTTACTATGTTGACTATTGAACGCCAATATTTGGTTTAGTTTGCTTTTGCATCTTTATGTTAGCATGTTGATTATTAAACTTATGTATTTGTTTTACACGATTTTGCATCTTTATTAGATGTTATTTTTTATTTTTTTTCTCAACTTGCGCATCGCTTCAGTCGGGCGCGCACCTCGCCTTGCGCCTCAAGCTCCAAGGCACCTTTGCACCTTAGTGCGCCTTGAGCCTTTAACAACTATGCCAAACACTTGTGAAAAATTACAAAAAATTAGTGGCAAGTGGCTCTATTTGCCGAACGCCAAGCATTTGAACAAGTCAGTGGCAAATGGCATTATTTGCCGATCACCAAACACTTGTGAAAATTTACAGAAAAAAATTATTAGTGGCAAGTGGCTCTATTTGCCGAATGCCAAGCATTTGACCAAGTCAATGGCAAATGGCGTTATTTGCCGATCACCAAACACTTAAAAAAAATTAAAGAAGAGAGAGGAAGACAAAATAAAATCCAAATATTTCGTTATCGTTCATCAAAGCACAAAAAGGTGTTTACATTACAAATGACGTTCACATTACAAAATCAACCCCAAAAAGAAAGAAAACAAGCCCTAAACGGTCATGTCGCCCTCCCAAGAGTGCTCCACGTCATCCTGAGGATCGTCTCCGCGAGAAGGAGAATCCAAATCAACAACATTCTCATAAGAAGTTGGGTTAACCATCAGGAGCACGACCAGCTGGCATCCCAATCTGTGGAGGCGAGACCGCTGATGCAGTGTTGAAAGGTTGGACGACCGAGATGGGGGAGAATGACCCCAAAAGTGACGATCTCCTTGCACTCCCGGAAGACAAGCTCAGCCTGATCGGTTGTAGGATCGGTGTAGTTTCCAAGAGGTTCAATCCTGAGATCACGATCACAATCATCTGGATCGTCATAAGACCTTCTCTGCCCTTCGGGAGGGGAGCGATATGTGAATCCATCTCTATACCCCTGAGCATACCTAAGGGCCCCAGCACGAGAGAAGCGAGCGTGGAGGGCTTTGACACCACCCTCAACCCTGCTCATCACACCGAGAAGGGCTGTACGATCTTCAGAAGATTTCTTGTCCAGAGCAGACCGAGCAGTGTGCTCATCCACCTCCAAAGCGCCTTAAAGATTATTTTTTTCCTTCTCAAGGCCAGAACGCTTGACTTATGATTCTTTCAGCTCTACCTTGGCCTTCCTTTGGTCGTTAGACAACTTTTTATAGCTAGAAGAAAGGGTGATCACCTTCTGATCGGCTATCTTGAGAGCCCTCTGCATAGTGACCATCCCGAACAGAGTCTGAATGGAGATAAAGGGCATCTATCACACTCAGTATAAATAAAATAAAATCAAACGATCAGGAGAGAAAATGAGAACATCAAAATCAAAGTTACCTCCATAGCCGAAACGGGAAACCGAGTAAACATTTGTGCTCATGACATCTCTCTCTGCACCTGCACGTCCCGAGGAGACCACATGTGCGAGTAATAAGCCAAAGCAGTTGGTCCATGCTTGAACATGGTCATTGGACCAGAGAACCGTTCGCCCTGATCAGACCCATGGGCCACAGTGGGAGGAACGGATAAAGTGCCCTCCACCCCACCGGTCGCACCAGCCGAAGCTGGCGCGTCAGTCCGAGCGGTCAGACCGATCGTGCTTGAGACCCTTGCCCTCTGGGACAAGGGAACATTGTCTAGGTCGGCGTCACTGCTCCTCTCAGATGAGGGCCTCTTTCCATATGCCCTCTCTTGGGCGGACTCCCGAGTGTGGGAGGAGTTGGCAAAACCGGAAGCAGTGGCAGGATCGGGCCTTAGGGAACTCCTGTTCCTTTCAAACGAGGGAATTTGTAACTCATCCATGCAGATCCCTTCAAAAGAAATATTGTTAAAAGCTTATGCAGTTAACAACTTGGGAGCTGATGGGACATTATTCCACATGTTCAATTCCAAATTACGAATGCAAGTGCTATAGTCCAAAAGGTCACATGGGATTTTAATGTAATGGCAGATGAAAATACAAAAGCGAGGAAGGCAAATTTCACATATACACTTGCTCCTATATTTTTTAATACTTAAAATACGAAGGGACAGAGCAGTCACTAAAGGCGGTAGGAATGGGATAATCTTTAGAAGCAGCAACCTGCCAAGCCCTCCCTAACAGCTATGATATTTTTCTTCCAATCCCTTTCAGAATCGAGGTTGCCGGTACAGAACGACCGATTGGGAAGGGGGAAGAGGTAGTAGTACCCCTCGTTCTACCGTATCCTACATATCTTATAGAAAAGTAAAAGGTCCAGAATGTCTAACTTCAGATTCCTTTCTTGATTTAGGATCAAAAGGACTGACATGATCCTAAAAAAGTTGGGATTTACTTGCAGTGGTGAAAGATTCAATTTGTTGAGAACGACATGAAAAAGGTGTGTAAAAGAAACCTGATCACGTTCAGGTGAACGGTAGAGAAGAGGATCTCCCCCTCTATAAGACCAACACCGGTCTTGACATCAACGTTCCTAGGTCAACGTCTAAGGTAAACATTGTCGAGGATCTCACACCAGACACGAAGGGTGTCGAGATCAAGTACTATGGTGATAACGACGGGGGATTCCCCCAAAAATGATCGAAAAGAAAAAGAAAAAGAAATTTTTTTGCAGAAAAAAAGGAACAGAACTGACCTCGAAGAACGAAGAGATGGAGGTGTAGAACGAATAAGGATGCTGCCAGGAAGATTACTAACCCAAACCTTGCCGGAGATCTCCTTTTTTGACTAAGTGTCAGAGGGAAAGAGGATGCTAAAGTTGCAATCGACAAGAGAAGGGAGGTAGTTGGGTTCGTACCAAGTTTTTAAAGTTAACCAAGCGTAGGAAACAAAACGGCATAGGGAACCGCATCGTGATGGTGACGTCGTAGATTCCGAGACATAGACACATGTGCCATCCGTTCGCACTTCCCCATGCCGTCACATAAAGCCGCCAACTTCACGCACATCAACACCAATCAATCTATCCCTGATTAATTATAGCGAGACTGAGGGGCAGGTGAGAGGTCTAGTAACCCCAATGGGCCAGATCCAGCCCAACCCATTTATTTCAGAATAATGTTCAGTGGCCTACAGGCCGAGCCAGAACCGTAGTAGAAGCGGGCCTCCAAGCCACATGGTCCGAGAGGAGGAATCCAGCCCATCGGCTCCCAACTTGGAAACCAAGAAGGAAGTTTAGGGTAAAATGTAAACTTCTATAAATAGAAGTTAGAGAGAGAAAAGAGGCAGGTTGTTTGGAGTGTGAGAAAAACTTTCTATAATAGAAAAGAAAATTTCTTGCATCTTCAAACGCAGAATAAGAATATCAAGATCAAACAAATATTTGGATAATATAACCTAGAGATCACAAATATATCCATGTTCCTAAGAGTAGTTCCTGCACAACCTCAAATTGATCCGCAGGGGAGTAGACCATCAACCTTAAAGGTATAAACTACAGTACACAGAGGATAACCATAAGGTATATCACAAGTAACAGGAAATGATAAAGTTAGAATAAGAGATAATAACGACAGGGAAATGACACAATAGCTAATTAAAATTAGTAAACATAAATTGACACTGCCCTTTGGCTCAATATGGAACCTCTCAATATCACCCGTTCTTTTGTGGGGTCCTATCATGATAGCTCAGTCCAAGCCTTTCCCCTCCCCGTCGTGATATTCTTGACACATCCGGAAGTCTTAAAACACTTATCACTTGCAGCAATGATTATGACAATGCATATAAAAGAAAGCAAATTTGAGACATCACAGGTGTTAAATTCAAATATCTTGTGCTAAACTAGAGCAACAATCAGTGCCTTATAATGCTTCAAATGGAAATTGTTGAAGGTATAAATATTAAAGTTGCACCCTCTCTATAAGCTAAAGCTTTTAGAGTAGATGGGTAGTTAACATGGTATCAGAGCCAAAGGTCTCGAGTTCAAACCTCACCGTCATCCTAATTAAAAATTGAAAAACACATGTAGGACCAAAAAGAAGGCCACACGTGAGGGGGCGTGTTGAAGGTAAATATATTAAATTTGCACCCTCGATTAGCTTAAGCTTTTAGAGTAGATGGGTAGTTAACAGAAATAAAATACCAAAGTTCAAACCTACATTGAGGCAAAGTTTGACAAATCAAATTTTGCTTACCAAAATATAGAAAATAACAAATTGCTTAAAATCAAACTAAAAGGAAAAGCACATAGCAACCATTCACAACATCTAGCACACAACAAAATGGAATGAAAACACAGAGGGGAAAAAGAAGTGACAGAGAACTACTCACCGTAGTTTGCATGGAATACTTGCCCTCTGGAACATTGATCTCAGGCTGTTCATGAATACCATTTTTTTCTTTTCGCTGAACTAATTGTTCCAACCCATCAACGTTGTTCGATAATCTTCCAGATTGAGTTTTGACTTGTGCAAAAGTACTTTTCTCATGCGATCTCTGATAGGAAGGATCGTTAAATTCACTAGCATCTTTCAATTTGTTAATGTAGTTTTTAGATACGAGCACTCCCGTATTCGGCATGTCAATATCCTTTTCCCCCGCTAGAGACAAAGCAGCATCACCATTTGACACTTTAGAAAAATTGGGATCTAATGTAGTTTTATTATAACCAGATTTCTTTTTAGAAGATATTACAGCAGCATTCATCTGATTATGAAATTTCACATCGTCAGAATGTTCAACTGGTACAGCCACGCTCTGAGAGTGACTAAAAGAATTCTTCCCAGCCAATGGCAGTGACCTTCCAGCAGCCTTGTTCCCCACTTTGGTGGTCTATTTGTTAGTTCACCATCACTATTCTCACCATAACCTTTTGCCAAATCTTTTTTCCTCCGCTTCTTCGGTTGCTCGTGAGGCGACGAGATAGGTTCATTGCTAGGAAAACAGAACAAATTGCATTAGGAAAGAAAAAATTCCAAAACAAATCCACTGATCTAATAAGACCATCTGGAATGGGAACTCATTGAAGACTGTATTACATAACACAAGACAAATATAGCTTTCACAATCTAACCATACAAATTTCCCAGAAGCTAAAAGAATTTAAGATAGTGAAACAAATCAAGTTTAATGTAAAGCAATGTACAACAAAAAAGAAGCTAATAGGTAAAAGTGGATTTTTTATACCATCAACAATGAATAATGGATTCTACCCTGATCACTTGAAGCACATTTTGAACAGTTCAGCAATTTTAAGATAGCTAAGGAGAAGGGTATAAATCCATCATTGTACTGTCAACGATAACAATGACAATGACTCACTCCCTGTTTTTTTATATTGACAATCCCATACATTGTGAAAAGATAATGCAATTAATCTGCTGTTCTTGTTCTGTTGCATCACTCCTGCAGTCTTATTTATTAACAAAAACAGAGAATAAAAAAGGGGAAGCTCCAGATGCCAACTCAAATATTAAAGATATATATATGTTGAAGAATTAAAATATTAAAGGCACCCTCTCTAACAGCTTAAGCTTTTAGAGTAGATGGTTGTTAACATAGTATCAGAGCCAAAGGTCTCGAATTCAAACCTCACTACCACCCTGAAAATTAAAATTGAAAAACACGCGTTGGACCAAAAAGGTCACACGTGCAAGATTAAAATATTAAAGGTACACCCTCTCTAACAACTTTTAGGGTAGATGGTTGTGAACAATATATATGTATATCTTCGATCAACATTTATCTCCATAAGAACTACAAATCTCAAGATAACCCAAATTAGGTCGCATCCAAGGTATATCACAGGTAATATATTGTTTGATGTCTTGTTACATATTTTTCATTACACATCTAACTAGACCAAAAATGCTGAAAATCAGACAAAAACTAGAATATACCTAACGAATATATCAAAACAGAAATAGTAATTAACAAAGTGGCTCGGAGAAACTCACATGCGTTCCAACTTCCCCCGATTAACAAAGAATCCATTGTGTTTTATTGCTGAATTATCAACTTGAAAATACTCATCCTACACAACGAGGAAACAAGGACTGTAATGAATAGTATCATTACTACATGCAAATTTTGTTATAAACAGTACGGCCAAGTGGTGCCACAAAAATAACAACTACCATTGCCAAATACATAGATAACAGGTAACAATACCAACCAGCTCTGTGTCATCTATAAAAGAATCTTCTGTGTCATACTCATCATCATCAGGAACATCATTGAGATCTTCCTCGTCACTACTATGCTTACCCTAAATAGTACAAGTTGTCACATTACCAGTTTATTTCAAACATTGTAATTTGCAATACATATAAATATCAAAAAAAAATTGTGCAAACACAATGTGCCTACAGGAGTATCGTACAAATGAAAATTTAAATTAAATGAAACATTGCATACCATGTACAAGCGTTCAATCTTCTCAATAACAGCACTGAAACGATGATTAGCAGGGTTTTCATCCTTCACTTCACTTTCAGCAGGTTCTCCCTAAAAAGGAAAAGCACAACTAAGGTTTGCAAAGATGGTTGACTCAAAGCAATCTATTGGGTGGAAAAGGAGACAAAATGTCGTTTATTTCCTTCCTTATTTTGTAACGTGGCAATGTCAGATTTATCCTGTGAAACATGTCATATGGCTAAACATGTTCATTCCAATTATCCTGCTAGTAGTAATAAATCTGCTTTAACACCTTTTGATCTTGTTCATTCAGATGTGTGGGGTCCTTGCCCAGTTACTTCTAGTCTTGGTTTTCGATATTTCGTGTTGTTCATTGATGATCATAGTCGTGTTACTTGGGTTTATCTTATGAAAACCAAAAATGAGGTATACACCATTTTTAAAAATTCTATGACAAAGGTTCAGACTCAATATGGTCGTACCATTAAAAAATTCCGATCTGACCAGGGTACAGAGTACACTTATGGGGAGGTACAACGGTTATGTACAGAATTTGGGATTGAGCATCAGATGGCTAATGTTAAAACTCCTCAACATAATGGTCGTTCCGAGAGAAAGAATCGCCACATCCTTGACTTAGCCAGAGCAATCTGCATTGGCGTGAATGTTCCCGAGTCTTTTTGGGGAGATGCAGTTCTTACCGTTGTTTACATCATTAATAGGACTCCTTCTAGGATTCTTAACTTTGCAGCCCCACTCTCAATCTTACATCCCAATTCATCTCTTTTTTTTATTCCTCCACGAGTCTTCGGGTGTGTGCGCTTTGTTCAGCAGTTGGGGCAAACTCGTACAAAACTTGACCCCAAGGCTTTGAAGTGTGTGTTTTTTGGGCTATTCTCACTCTCAAAAAGGTAATAGGTGTTACCATCCTCCCAGTCGTCGACGGTTTATATCCATGGATGTTTCTTTCTTTGAACATACACCATACTATAGTGGTTCAGTTGGTTCTCAGAGTGAATGGTTCCCATTGCATATAATGGATGATCACCTTCTTCCGTCTTTAACTCTTCTACCATTACCTGTTTCTTCTTCTATGATTCCTCCTCGTGATACCCCTCCAGCAGGGGGAATTGTTCCTTTTTCACAGGTTTATAGTCTGAGACAACAGGTACAAGCTTCTACTCCCACGATCGACTGCCCTGTTCCTTCGGCACTAGCTCCGCCTTCTCAAGCTATTGTTTCGCTTGATGATCGCCCCATTACTCTTCGAAAGGGTAAACATTCTTGTACTTACCCTATTTCTAATTTTGTTTCTGATTATGCTCTCTCACCCTCCTATCAGAGTTTTCTTGTTTCTATTGCCTCGGTTCCTGTTCCTTCTAGTGTTGCAGATGCACTAGCACAACCACAATGGCGTGATGCTATGACAGAGGAACTACAAGCACTTGAGAAAAATCAGACTTGGGATATGGTTATCGTTGGGTGTTTACAGTTAAGCATAATCCAGATGGGTCAATTGCTCGTTACAAGGCGCGATTGGTTGCTAAGGGTTATGCTCGGACTTATGGCATAGATTATCAGGAGACTTTTGCCCTTGTTGCCAAGATGAATACCATCCGTGTATTATTTTCCGTTGCTGCAATTCAATCTTGGCCTCTATTTCAGTTAGATGTCAAGAATGCCTTTCTTAATAGTGATTTGCAGGAGGAGGTGTACATGGTTCCTCCTCCGGGCTTTCGTTCCTTTGCTCATTCTGGTATAGTATGTCGTCTTCATCGTTCTCTGTATGGCCTCAAGCAGTCTCCTCGAGCTTGGTCTGATCGCTTTGGCATTGTTATGCTCAAGTTTGGTTTCCATCAAAGTGCAGCTGGTCATACCTTATTTTTACGTCATTCAGGCGATAAGACAGTTACTCTCATTGTGTATGTCGATGATATTATTCTTACCGACGATGATACTACCGGAATTAATAAGGTTAAGAGCTATCTTGGCCGTCAGTTTGAGATTATGGATCTTGGTCCCCTACGGTACTTCTTGGGCATTGAGGTGGTTCGCTCCAAGACTGGCATTTTCATCTCTCAACACAAGAATGTTCTTGACTTGCTTTCTGCTTCTGATCAGCTTGGTGCTCGTCCTGCAGATACTCCTATTGAGCAGAATCATCGGTTGGCTGATTCTGAGGGGAAGTTGTTGTCAGATATTGGTCGGTATCAACGACTTGTGGGGAAGCTCATCTATTTATCCATGACTCGACCTGACATTGCTTATGCCGTGAGTGTCGTGAGTGTCCAGGCCGTGGTATTTTGTTTGCCAATTATGGTCACTTACATGTTGAGGCTTGGACAGATGCTGATTATGCAGGATCAATTTCAGATAGGAGGTCTACTTCAGGTTATTGTACCACAATTGGTGGTAACTTGGTTACTTGGCGCAGTAAGAAGCAGGATGTTGTCTCTCAATCTAGTGCAGAGGCAGAGTATAGGGCTATGGCTCCTGGGATAGGTGAGTTGCTTTGGCTGAAAACCTTGATAACAGACTTGTGCCTTCCAGTGTCGCTTCCATTCTCACTCTACTGCGACAACAAGCCTGCCATTAGTATAGCAGCAAATCCCGTTCACCATGACAAGACTAAGCATATAGAGGTGGACCGTCACTTCATTCGAGAGAATATCATCTCTGGTCAAATTTGCACTCCATTTGTCACAAGCTCTCAACAGCTTGCAGACATTGTTACAAAGGGCGTCAACAAGATTGTGTTTGAGATATCCACGCACCAACTTGAGGGGGAGTGTTAGCATATATGATACCACGATTTATGGTATGACTTACCATAATAACAGAGATTTGACTATGCATATAATAGCATACATGATACCACGATTTATGGTATGACTTACCATAATAGCAGA